AGGGCGCCACAGAGAGCACGGGGCAAGTGGGGACTGTTTGAATCCCTGTTCACCCATGCTCCCTGTGGCTCTTCTTCTTTTGAAGTATACAAGAGTCCTGGAGAGCTCTTGTAAATTTCACAATTAGAAGTGTCTACAATGGGAACCAGAGCGAGGGAGGACTGAAGCAGTACCCACGCGTGCCATTTCCTGCTGTGCCTCTGGCGCCACAGAGAGCACGGGGCAAGTGGGGACTGTTTGAATCCCTGTTCACCCATGCTCCCTGTGGCTCTTCTTCTTTTGAAGTATACAAGAGTCCTGGAGAGCTCTTGTAAATTTCACAATTAGAAGTGTCTACAATGGGAACCAGAGCGAGGGAGGACTGAAGCAGTACCCACGCGTGCCATTTCCTGCTGTGCCTCTGCCTCCCCTGCCCCCCCGCAGAGATGGTGCTAGGGGGGAAATGACTTTACTGGTTTCCCCAGCACCAGCTCCTGCTCCCCCTTCTTGCTGCCTCTCTCTGATAATCTACTAGTCACTTATTGGATAGTTGACTAGTCGCTTACATCCCTACTATGAACATTAACTGATGAGCCCAGGCTCACTGGTTAACCATGTGCGCAGTTACACTTTCACATCCCTACTACAGTTACCTCTTGGCTTGGGACCAAACAGTGAAAACAGTGAAATCTCAGAAGTTTACATCCGGAGATGAAACTGACAATTTTAAAACCCTCTGGCCATGAAATTGGTCAAATGGCCCATGAATTTGGTCAGGTTCTATCAACGATCTACGGTAATGTTGCATTGGATGACCATCTCCATAGCAACTCTAAACTTCACTCCTCCTTGCCAGTGTTATCTTTTACTGGTAACAGTTCCTAGCTTCTGTGTTAGCTCCAACCTTCAGTCCCAGAAACTCTAATTTTCTCTTCACTTTATTCTCTCATTAGTCCCCTCTTAAAACTAGTATTTGCAATTTGTATCCAATATATAAGCCTTCCCCATCCCTGACTTACAGCCTACATAGTTTATCTAGACCAGAATACTTACAATGTCCTGAGAATTGTTAAGAATACCCTAGCTGGGAACCTGAACAGCTCCAAGCCCTCCCTTCATGGCACACAGCGTTCTCTCTGCAGAGTGTCCTCACCTATCTTGGATGGTTCTGCATGAACAGTTAGTTTCCCTTCCAACCTCAAGATTCCCAGACAGCAAACACCCCATCATGTACTTTCTAAACCATAAGGGAGTAGAAGTTGGCCCTATTTTCAGTTACTCAACAGGTGTTAGTTTCAAGCGTTTTCTACTCCTCCTGAAGATGAAGTTAAAGTGAGAATGCATCTATCTTTTCATAACCACAAATGTAAGAAGATTTTCATAATTTTAACATAGAAAATTGTCAAATTAGTGTATATTCATTATTAGCAGGGCTTGACACATACACTCGCCCGCTTGCCCGTGGCGAGTAAATTTTACCAGCTGGCGAGTGCAGGGGCGGACTGGCCTGGTGGGCCATTGTGACGGGCTGGCCAAAGCCTGCACTACGGGCAGCGCGGCCCCATCTGATCCGCTGGCCGGTGTAGGAGCAGAGCGCCACCAGGAAGGGGGAAGTGCAGCGACTCTCAGTGCCAGGATGCCTGCGTGCAGCTCCAGCGCGAGGCAGGGCACGAGCCAGATGGCAGGACGCTGGCATGACGTGGTGTCCTGACGGATTCAAAAAGGCTCCAGCAACCCCGCAAAGTGGAAAGCAGAAGCCAGGTGGGGCCAGGGCCGGGGCTGTGCAGAGAGAAGGGAAGGGAAGGGAAGGGAAGGGAAGGGAAGGGAAGGGGAAAAATATGGGGAAGGGGCTTGTGCTGAGGGGAGGGAAGGAGGTCAGGAGAAGAAGAAGAAAGGGTAAGGCACCAAGGGACAGGGGTGCAGGAGAGACAAATCCCAGGGGGGCAAGTGCAGACAATGAGGAAAAGGGCAGGAGGGGAGGTGTCAGTGGGAGGATGAAGACTCTTGATGAGGTTAAGGTCGTAAAGAACAAAGATAGTTAGGACTACAGGGATATCTCTGCTTAAACACTATTGATGTTTTTCTTCCACTCTCCTCTTGTTAAAAAATGTTGAATATGGAGAGAATGACATAAATGCAAAAGGTTTTTCTTTTCATTGCACAACACAAGCAAGTATCTGAATCATTTTGCTCTTGAACTCATTGTTTAATATGACATGGAGGTTTTTTTGTGTTTTGTTTACGTCATTGATCTAGATTTGGACCACATTTCTGAATAAACTTTAAAAGCAAAAAATTGAAAAGTAACACTTTAACACCAGGAGGGTGCAGGTGCCAGAGAATTCTGAATGAAGAAGAAGGGCAGACACCTGAAGGGGAGGGACCAGCACCAGAGGAGAGAAGCAGGGCAGGTGTGTAGAGGGAGGTGTTAGGAGAGGGATGAGGAGGGGTAGCTCACATGATCAGAGTGGGGCTACTGGAGGAGTGGGCACAGGGGGGAGAGAACGGCTGGTGGAGGGGGGCAGGTCGCAGGAGGGCTGAGGGCAGTGAGAAGGGCAGGAGTCAGGACAGCAGAGGAGGGTGACTAGGGGAGCTGATGGAGCAAGGGGAGGAGACATGGCAGCAGAGGGAAAAGGTAGAGATTTATAAGGTATTTATTAATAACTTATTAGTAATTACTGTTCTTATTAGGAATTTATGCCATAAAAAAACACTTTGGGGGGGCGGTGGCGAGTCCCTTTTTTGTCTGGCGAGTAGGGTTTTCCATAATTTGTCGAGCCCTGGTTATTAGTATTTGCAAATTAATTTAATCGGATTTTTAAAAAGTATTTTTATATTGAGTCAAAATATTTAATAGTATGTGTTTGCAATGATTTAACCACCACACACAAAACATATAAAAGTTTTACCTTTATAGTAAGAAAAACCTTGGTAAGAAGAAAGCTCACAAGTTAACTATCTTCACTTCCCAGTGGACAAGTGCCCATTTCACAGAAACACTGCCACCAGTTTTCCATGGCCAGAAGTGACTATTATAATAATATAATCCGAACTCTTGTATAACACAGGCCAGATGTAAACTGGAACCCTTTTCCTTCTTCCCTGACCTTGGCTTTCTTAGTTACAATTTATTAAACTTTTTATCATGCCTTTGGTTTGTTATCTGTAGTTTCTTGTACTCAAGGCCACGAGGCCCCATTTTGCTTAGAAATCATATTGCTTATGAATATGTATGTAACCTGTGGAATGTGTGTGAGGTGTGAATGAGAACTATCCAACCAAAAAAGCAGTTTAGGATCTCTGACCTTTTAAGGCAAAGACCCTGCAAGCAGATAAATTAACTGAGAAATGGCCAGAAAATCCCTCTTCCCCTCCCCTCCCCCCCAGACGAGATGTAACATCATATCAGAAACCTGGAATGGGCCAGGAGGAAGTAAAGTCTCCTATAGATTCGAAGGGATCTTCCAAGGAACATCATGGTCAAGTCTTCAGGAAGCTGATGCCTGGCCAGTACTTCAGCCACCAGCAAAATCAAAAGTAATGTACACCGCACTTGCAGCCTACCTCCGAACTGCCAGCGCGAATGTGATGTGTGTATCACTTTGCTCTTAAGAATCTGTGCCAATAAACAACCCCAAAAGCAATACTGCTCCAGCCCACCTTTTGCCTGGGTTTGCTCCTCAGAAGGTCCAAGGAAGTGCAAAAGTATTGAGCACATACAGTAGAGTCCCTATCATCCAATGTAAACGGGACCGACACATGGTTGGATTACCGAATATGTCGGATGATAGGGACTGCTGCCAGGGAAGAAGCGGCCCTGGCAGCAGCAGCCGTCCCTGTGCTCTCTAGGAGCAGCTGATGGGGCTCCTGTCAGGGCCGCATCTTACCCGGCAGCAGTC